CAGGGGCTCCGCCGCTGACCGCGCTTCAGTTGCGGCGCAGAAGCAGTTGTGCAGAGATGGGGAAGCTTTCGCTAAAGACGCGATCGTCCTTCCTAAGCAAACGTTACCTACCTACCTTCTTCATGCTGATTAAATAGTCATCAGTTTTCTACTGGCGTCACTTCCACAGGCAGGCTGCTCAACTGAAGATTTAACAAAGATTTGTTATTCCATTACAATCCTAATTTCAGGCTCACAATATCAAACCGTTACTGGGAGGAAGTGAATACAGTTATAAACAGAGCAAGTGTGTATTACTGCCCTCACTATCGACCTCTCGACCAAGGAGTCCTTCATGCCCTGTGACAACCTAAACACTTACCTTACCTAACATGTCACCTGCCTGCTGGATCTTTGGCAAGACATGCCCCAAACAGTGTGTTTTTTTTCCTGACTTCTTCCAGTCACATTATTCACAGCACAGATTCAGCTGTATGATGCATTTTCTACAGCATTAGCCTATTTCAACATGTCACAACTTAACACTAGATACCTCTAACTTAAAAGAGACTTCCCTCCTTTATTGCTGAGGGTGGGACATTTTTTCTGGTTTTTTTTTTTTTTTTTTTAGTAATTTGTTTTAAATAGGTTTTCTTTGTTGTTATTCTACAGATTTAACACAGTATTTTCCCCTCGTTTGCCTTCCATTTTCTTTACCTATTAATGATATAGAGTAGCAATGTCAGCAACCACTACGTTCATTAGCCCTTGATTTCACTTCACACGTTGCCTTCAGCAAAAGTTCTGATCCATCGTAGAAACAAAGATCTACTGGCTATTGGTTTAACAACTAACACATAAGTCAGCTACTAAAATTACTCTCCCTCGCCCTTTCCTTTGTTTTTCCTGTCATCACTTGCCTTTAAAGTACTTAGTTTCAGGACATAAAAATGCATCTCTTCAAATTTTTTTTATTTTAAAGGCTAACTTGGCATTTCAAAAGGATGGCAAAGCTGATTTAAGAACACAGGCCATAGAACATAGAGGCAAAAATCAAAAATGATAAGGCACATACATTCCCCTTTTGGATCTTCTGCCCTGTCTAGATTCTCTTTTCCCCTTTAGAGGAATAGCAAAGCAGAACTCCCTGCATCGTACTCTTATATGCACCACTAATTACACAGGATAACCATTAGAAGTAAGAATGTTTTATTCTGTTGATAACTGTCCTGGCAGTATCTGGATCAACTCTCCAAAGCTGTTCCTGAAACGGGACCGGAGACATGAACTGCGTGGAAATTGGAATACCTCATGCAAATTAAGAAGTGGAAGTTCAGTAGGTACTGTATCTCCAACACTGTGCTATGTCCACCACTGAACATAACTATACTCACTCCTTTCGTGCACCTTTGTGCAGATAGGCTAATACTGATGTTGAAAGGTAACTAACATTAGTGCTGAGCACCAACTTAGAACATACCTTGGAGGTCATGCTCTCGTTCATAGCTGTTCCATCTGTGTCACATCAAACTCTCCAGTTAAAAGAAAATCAGGAGAGATCAGCAGCTTAACAGGACCACTGACCACGATGCAAAGTTTATGCCAGTTGGCAGGCACAGTTATATACAACTTAATCATAACTATGACTTCTTCTTAAACACAGAAAACAGGAAAGTTGGCCGGTATGCTTAAACCCATCAGTTGCTGCTACAGCTGCTCAAAAATAGCTGCACATTCATGATGCTGTATTTTTTTTTCCTTTAGGATGGTAACAAAGTAGGTACGCAGAGTTCACATACACAACAAAAGAAGACTGCAGTTCTCAGGAAGCCCTTTATTAAGTCAAGCATTACAGGAGAAACTACTGTTATTCACCATGTTTCTCTTCTTGAGGTGGTTCATATTGAGCCAGCTGTGGATTTAAAGAGAGGAATTTAGTTAGCAGCAACATTTCAGAGAATTTCTACATTAAGAAAGGTAGCAAAATGTTTGGTCTGAAAGTGTTCCATTTACTCTGTGGATTTTAATCCATCACTGATATTTATGCAAGTCCATTTTTAAGTCAGGCAACAAAGTAACCCTTCCCTCAAACCATTCTCAGAATGTATAATCATGCAGTTATAACAAGGGTAGCTTTTCAAAGGTACATTCAAAGATACAAGCCATGCCCTTAATTTTTTGTCCATTTCTTGTTCTAGTCCCCATTAAGTACTTTTCATCTCAAACAGCAGCTGAAAACGACCAGTGCCTTATAAGCCTTGATTTGAATGAAATGTGATTAAATGAAATATTCTCATAGCAACAGTACCCAAATTAGCAGTTTTTGGAATCATTCTTGCTTTCCTTATGCTTTCTGGAGAGCATGGTCTAGGCAACTATGGTTTAAAGTATGACCTTCACTTGCAAAGAAAGTTATTTCCAAAGAAACATATGAAGGTGCTTACTTGACCTCAGTTACATTAAAGATAAGCTCAAGCGTCAAAAACAGTTTGGGTATTAGGACTGAATCTCTGAAATACACCAGTCCATCTTCCTCAGATCCTTCCCCTCTTCTGCAAATTGCAGAGTAGGTTAAGAATAAACAAAATCCATAAAAATTTTCAAATACCCAGATGTAGCAACACTAAGTTACAGCAATTGCTATGCTAGTAATGAGATCTACTAAAACAGCATTTTGTCATTGTTGTACCTTTTGCTACAGAAGATGGCTAGTACACAATCCAAAGTCAGTTTTCCTTTCCACAGTGGGCCTAACCATTTCCTGTCCCTCGTCCTACCCAAACACCTGATGTTCTCACCAAGAAATGTAAGGAAAAGAACTTCACAGACAAATGCAACAGAACACCACCATCTATTTGTGTATGATTCAAGTTACCAATGAATGCACAGTTAAAGGCATGTATTTTATGCTAGAGGATCACTAAAAAAAAAAAACAACAAAAATCAACACATAACGCTTCCCCTGCATTCTGTCCATGTGAACTTCTATGGTATGTCAGAATGATGGGCAGTAGATTGCAGGGTAAAGAAAGGCAGGCAAAACCCAAAAACATTAATACTGCAAAACACAAATTGAGAGTTATCATTTGAAGGCTGAAGAAGGTGAAGCACAAATAAACCCATGGTTATGAAAATCTTACTTTCCTGGAACAAGTTTTGACTTCTTTAATAGAATTCCTTAAGCAAAAACCCAGGTTACTCTGCTTTCAAGTGTCTACTTACTATCAATTGCATTTTTAAGTTGGCTACACCAAGTGAACTGCTGGTCTATTACTACTCCCCATAAAATTCTGCTGTTTTCCTTATTTCCTAGTAAGAAATAACAAATGTAACTGTAAGGACTCAGTGGATAACAGAGGAGGAAAATTACTAGGCCAGCAAGAAGGCACTCCAGATGAGAAATACAAAGTGGTAATGCCCAAGAATCTCTTCTCACAGAACTAAGGTGGGGTGGTTGTGTCTCTGTCAAAAATCCACAGGAATGTGAACATTTAACAACAGCCATCCTCTTCCAACAAACTTATGGAAACCTGTGGTGGCATATGAGCTACTAGCTTATTAAGGTTCTCAAATGTTTCCTTCAGTGTTGTTAGTGCTTAATTTACAGTCAGTGCCCTCTCATAAGGGGAAGTTGTACACATCTATTGGCTTTTTCAAGTAGCCGATAGAACTATTTAAGAAAGGCTCTACCTTAGCTAGCACTTCAGGTCCACTGTTGCAGACACACAAATACAGGAGTTGCTTTGGCTGAAAAGCAAACTTCTGTCCCAAGTGGACAAGTGACTCCACTGATAACATCCTGTCACATGCGAGTCTGTGCCCGGTCACACAAACTAATGCGCAACAGTCCTCCTTCAGTTTGTCTTTTGAAAGCCCTTATAACATATACATTAGCTTTTTTCTTTTTCAAACCTCTTGTGGAAGCATCAGCTACACAATATCAGACAACTTAAACACATCCAGACAGGACTGAATGAAGACATAGGATTAGCCTCAATAACATTTAACTTTCACCAAATACATAAAATTCCTAATTTAGCAATACTACTCTGTTATAGAATATTAAGAAGTATACTATAAAAAACTCCAAACAACCATACTTTACTATGATGAATTCCATCACCATTCCTCAGGCACAAGGCTAAACAATACAATAACATTTACCAGGTACTCTAACAGAAGAAAGTTAGGTGAATTCTCAGTATTAAATTATTTTTCTTCTTGTGTAATAGGGAACTACTGAGGAATGCTAAATAGACTTTTACCTTGTTTTTCAGTTTTTTATTTTCTTCCAACACAGCTTCATATTTTTCTTTCATCTCTGCCACTTCCAAGCGAAGTGCCTCTATTTCTGGATTTTCAGGAGCTGAAGCTCCCAGATGATGCTTCAAAAAGCTGACATTTAGATGTTAAGTATTTCTTCAGCTGATAACATAACCACTTTGTAGTTTTAACATTTATGATGAAGGTAGTGCTGCAATACATGTGATCAAAGCTGCATTAAGTCACTTAAGGTTACTGTAGTGCTTTTCACCCTACAGGATGAAGTTACAAAAGAAAGCTCTTCCAAGTTCATTTGTATATTCCTTAAAAACAACCAAACCAACCAACCAAGACACAAGACATCAATACACACAAGACAAATTCTCACGTTTTACTACACCCTTCCTCCTCTTTTCCTCTCTTAAATGCAGAAATTTTTAAGAGTTAAAAGGAATAACAATATGACAAATACTAAATAACAGGAATTACAAGGAAAACAAAAATAGGAGCAATAGCGAAAAAGGAGGGCTGCTTAAAAACAGCAAGAAACAGAAGACATTAATTTTTCCCCTCTCAAATTATTGGATAAAAAAAGTGTGAAGAACTCACACATATACTGTAAGTACTCAAATTTAATGCCGCAGGTCTATGACATTTTGTAACGGCTTGCAACTTAACTTCATAATTGCTAGCATACTGGTACACACAGTCCTCTTGCATCCTGTCAGACTTTCTGTTAACTTGTAGGACCACAATTATTAGGTAAAATACATCCATAAAAGCCATGTTCTAAATTTAAGTCTTCTAGATGAGCCTCTCCCGTTCATCTATGAGTCAGAAGCATTACTACTGTTTTGCGTGACATCTCTGTGAACAATTCACAGAAGAGAAAAAGGATACTCCAATGCACTATCTGGTTTCTCTGGCTCTTCATATAAGGCTACCAACACTGCAAATAAAAAACATATTCAACAATTGCAAGAAGTTCATGCAACTCTAGGTTTCTAAAACACATACCAAAAGTCAGAAGGCATACAAGTATGCCACATCTTCAGCCCTTTTTTTTCTGTTTAACAAGATTTTCACCTATATACTATAACATTAAGAATATGTTTGCTGTGCAAAAGGGAAACATTAACAGCTAGACAGAAGTTTTCTTGATCCCCTAAACACAGTCTTTGGCTATTTCAGTGCAGAACAAAGAACAGCCTGGAAAATTTTTACATATGCTACACACAATTCTAGTATTGGCTTTCATGAGCAAAATTGAAATTCCAACCATTTTGAGATTCTCCCTTCATAAACCATTCATTCCACTTAAGCTACATCTTTGAAGCGCAAGACAACATCATCATAAAAACACACTTCCACCTAACACCTACAGTTAGAAAACTACATGGCTACCATCAGAGCAGGTGATGCTCATAATCTTTATGGATTGGGGCCTCTAGCAGCCAATGGAGTGCTAGAGAGGTCAGGCACAAGCAGCAGTACCTTGTTAACTTAAATGAAAGTAGCCATACACATACTACCTACCTATCTGGAGAATTCAGTCACAGGAATACTCAAGAAGTTCCCTAACATAATCATTCCCTACTCCCCACAGGGTCACACACATGACTATAGAAGACATCTGCCTTCACAAATACTTAAGATACCCTTTTCTCAGTTTCAGGTGTCTAAACTGCACAGTCGAATTGGTTTTTAGCTAAACACCTAAGTTAAAAAAAAAAAAAATTAAGTATCACATGCTCCTTGGAAGACTTATTTTACTGTGCCACAGGATGTTTAGTATTACAATAGAAAGCAATCGAATGGTACTCAGAAGCCAGGCCAAAAATCCTAGTGTGGCACCTACATTCACTTGACAACCTAGATCTGCTCCCTCCCTTTTTAAACAGTGTATTTTTTGGGCAGCAATATTAACAGGTTTTCTCCACATACTATTGGAAGGCTGTTAAAAAGACTTCAGAAGGGTTTTAAAGATTCTAAGCCATACAGAAAGCCAAAGCACGCATCAAGCTTAGCATCATCATTTTCTCCATTCTGGTAGGGAGTCACTCTCACAAAACTTACAGGTTCACTGGGTTTAGGAGAAGCACCAAGCTCTAGTCAAGAGTCTTTTTAACTAGGTTGTTTTTAAGAGTGTATTGCTATTATTTTGTCTCAAGCATTTATTTTCACAGGAGAGCTCAGGCAGAATAACAGCCCCCAAAAAATTCAGTGGTTTCCAAAAGCACTTCAGCCAAATAAAAATGGTAACCAACACACCAAGTAAAGGGAAAGGGACAGCCCTCCTGTTCCTTACGTGTCTCAAATTCCTGCTCCACGCCCGTCTCTAACAATCGACCCACACACACAATGAGCTGCAAACTGCCAGAAAAGAGTTAACGCATTGCGGTTCATAGGCCATTTTTCCACAGAGGTCCTCTGCCCTCCCCCAGCGCGCACTGCCTCGCTGGTCAGCTCGGACTGACCAAGTTCTCCGAGCAAGTTCTGCTGCCGGCCGCCAAGCAGAATAAGGAAAATGTGCGATCGGTTTCCCGAGGCCAGGCTGGAAGCCGGCGGAGAGCACCGAGGCAACCCAAGGGGCGGCCACAGCACAACCACGCTAAGGGGACAGCTGCACTGCCGGCCCGGGATGCCCCAAGAGGAACGGCGTCCGCCCGCAGAAAGGCCCGAAGAGCCGCAGGAGCGGGCCCCTCCGGCATCACGACGCGGGCCGGACACTTACCCTTGGTGAGCGTGTCCAGCACCCCCGACTTCTCCAGGTATCGGCGGAACTGCTCCCGCTTGGAGTCCGCGGCCTGAGGGAGGACGCCCACACGGTCAGATCGGCGGCGCCTCCCCCCCTCAGCTACGGAGGCGGCTCGCTGGACGAG